GAAAAAAATAGTTCTTGCAAAATTGGAATTGATTGACTGAACTTTTTAGTCCCACCCAGTCTGCCATTACCACTGCAGCCACGCCCACCCAATTGGCCATGCCCAGCCAATGGGCCACACCCAGCCAATGGGCCACATCCACCCAGCACTCGACGATGCATAAGTGGGTTTTGGGTTGCAGTTTGGGCACTCAGTCTCTAAAAGGTTCGCCATCACTGGGATAGAGGAAGTATGCCTTTACTGCCACAATGCCTGCCCTCTGCAAAGCCTCTCTCAGAGATACAATTGGCACCCACTCTCCTGGGATTCTGAAAGGAATTTAAAAACTAGCTTTTTAATTGAGGTTAACACATTTAGCTGATGTATTTGTGGAGGGCCCATCATATCTACATGGCTTAGCATTTGAATATGGGCTCCCGGTTTATATTTAATTGTTTTTAATCTATAATTTCTGGGTTTTAAAAGTCACCCAGAATCTAATAGAGTGGGCAATTATAACGAATTTAATAAATTAAACTGAGACATCTTTCAAAACAATGTGCCAATTTTCTTTGCGTGGTTGGAAATTACTTAGAGGATAGGTCCACCACAATAACACTGCTATTGCCTCTGGCTGGATAATTCTGTTGTAACTATGAGTTGCTGTTTTTTGTTGATTTGGTTCAGGCTTTGTTGCTGGTTTACTTTATTATTATTATTACTGTAAGCCATCCAGGAAACATTTTTAAAAAGAAGAACAGGTTCCACTGCTGAAGTATAAATAAAAGGCCATGGCTGAAGTCCAGAGAATAATCCCTACCAAAACAACAAAATCCATCCCAGAAAAATAAACAATAAGCAATACTTCTAAATGCATATAAACATCAGCCTATATCTTAATGTGTACAGAGGAACAAACAGTAAGAGATAATGCTTATTTTATTCCAATTTTGCTTTGGGCAAAAATTGCTCTTTAAGTAATGATTTTCACACACTGCGGTCTTCAAAATATGGCTATGCTGGTTGAAGATAAAGACCTACAGGTAGTCCTTGAATTATAACTCTAATTGAGCCTGGAATTACCATTATAAATTGTTATAGTTGTAAGTCAAGGCATCCACATAACTGGAAGTAATTGCCAGGCCTTTTTTTTGTGATGGTTCTTAAGTAAAAACAGTAATCGTTAAGTGAACATGGCAGTTATTAATAAACCCGTTCATTTGAATGGGCATTTTTAGCTGGAATTGTGGTCACATGGCTGAGGAATGCTGCACAATGGGTTGTAAAGCCGACCTGCCCAATATGCAGCCACATGACCGCAGGGGGCATGTGGTCTGACCATTTATGACAGCCAGGGATGTTTTATGGGCTGTCAGGTACCCATTCAGCGGCCATAACTACAACCATTCTCAAAATAACTTGTTAAGCAATAAGTCATCTAGACCAGGGGTCCCCAACCTTTTGGGCACCAGGGACCAGTTCCGTGGAGAGAGGTTTTTCCATGGACTGGAAGGGCCATGGTTTTGTATGCTGCCTAGATCCCTCGGATGGGGCTTTGCTTGTTTGTGCGGACTGATTTTTAACATGCCGCGGATCGGTGCCAGTTCACAGACCGGGGATTGGAGACCCCTAATCTAAGACTAGAGCACACCCAATAAGACTAAGCTCGATTCTTTTTCTCTACTGAAAGAAAGCAGCCAAAATATCCTAGATATATGTGTGTGGAAAGGGAAGAGTTACGTTCAAGAGCTCTGATATGTAGCTCCTGATAACTCATCCAAGATTCTAGATGTTGTGTTTATTGCTACTTCATACATTGAACTATTTCCACACATTTTTGGATTTTCAGAGCTGCTGAACTACCATTCTCAGCAGTCTTCAACAATCATGGCTAATGGAAACGAATGCTAGTAACTGTAGTTCAGCACCTTCACGACAGTTTCCCATTGTGCAGCAACCTCCATTACAAGTCACAATAACAAGTCAGTATGTCATATTGTCATTCAAATAGTACAATTCTGTGCTTTAATGACAATGTGACATCTGATGCAAGGACAAGTTGCATCATTTGTGCAATAATATCAATTCAGAAATGGCATTTGCCTCTATCCTTGTGTTATGTGAAGTAGGTTGAAATTAAAAAGTCAATTTCAACTAGTATTGTAGTTCTTAAACAACAAACCTCAGGACATAGAATTGCATGCTCAAAATAGCATGCTGCTTCTTTGCAAAATTACACACCTCAAACAGGATGTTTTCTGCTAGATGCCCTGTAGTTCCTGCTTCAAAGGTCTCCTGGAAATATAGCATATGGACTGAGCATTGGCACGAATGTCATTTAGTCACAAGACTCATTGATCAAACACTTTTTCTCAGGCAAAGACACAACTCAGGGTTGCTCTCAGGATAATGGACTTTTCTGTATTTTTTTGAAGGCAGGACACCAATGTAATTAAAGGTAATCCTTGATTTATGACAGTTTGCTTAAACAAGATTTGAATTAGCAACAACCTCCATAAAGGAGACTTATGACCTAAATTTGAACTTACAATTGTTGCCCGTCCCCAGTCACATGATTGAAATTCAGGTGCTTGGCAACCGGCTCACTTTTATGACCAGTTGCCCATCTCGCGATCATGTGATTGTTAATTGCAACATCTTTGCTAGTTTCCGATTCGCACTTGGGAGCTTCTTTCATTCCCTGCTAATGAGCCCACTGAAGTGGTACCTATTTATCTACTCGCGTTTGCACGCTTTTGAACTGCTAGGTGGACAGGAATTGGAGTGAATGACAAAAGTTCTGACACACAGCAGCACTCCGGCTTCGAATACAAGTTTGCAAATGGTCAACCCAGTGTCCTAACCACATGAGCCACTGCGCTTCATTGGAATATAGTCAAGTTGATTAAAGACCATGGAAGTATCTTTGGACAACACTGACATCCTCAGCTAAGAATGGAGATGTGCACCGCCCCCTAGAGTTGGACACAACTGGACAAGGGAAAGGGGGTAAGAATAGCTACTATTGCTCACATCTATTCAAATGCTAAAAACCAGTGAAGGCTCTAGTCAAACTTGCAAGATCCTATAAATCAGGGATGTTCAATTTTAGCAATTTTTTAGACTTGTGGATTTCAACTTCCAGAATTCCCCAGATAGCAGATGGACACCCTACTATAGATTCTATATGGCCATTACAGAACTGCTTTACTCACCATTTTATCTAAGAATACACTGCCATTCATTAACAGACACATTTAGTTGAACACATAAACAACTAATATGAGTTTTCACAGGAGGCATGATACAAGTGCCAGGAAACTAGGATTGCCCAATACATGCAATTTGTCTATTATCTATTTATTTATTTGTATTTATATTCTGTTCCAGAGACGCCGAACAGTTCACATTCAAATCCAACTCATCAGGCAACAGTAATCACAATATCAAAAACATATAGCAGTGATGGCGAACCTTTTAGAGACTGAGTGCCCAAACTGCAACCCAAAACCCACTTATGCATCGTCGAGTGCCGGGTGGACGTGGCCCATTGGGTGGGTGTGCCCCAGTGGGTAGGCATGGCTGGTGGTAATGGCAGTGGTAATGGCAGACAGTGGGACTAAAAAGTTCAATCAATCAATTCCAACTTTGCAAGATCTTTATTTTTCCCGCGAGAAGTTGAAATTGACTGATTGAACCTTTTTTTTTTTTTTGCACACGGCGGCCGAGGCCTAAAGCGAAAAGGTTTTATAAAACCCAGCTGAAGGCCTAGGACTTGGGCGACGGCATGCGTGCCCACAGACAGGGCTCTGAGTGCCGCCTCTGGCACCCGTGCCATAGGTTCGCCACCACTGACATATAGCAATGCCCATTTTCAAACTAGTTATTTCTCGCTCCCTGTGATTTAAAAAAATGTCAAGGTGAAGATTTCACAGCACGGAAAGAAACTTTTACTTGGGTCTTATGTCAATCAAGCCCCACTTAAAGGTAAGCAAGAGGGACTCGGTGAAAGTTGGCAACTCCTAACATGCATTGCAACAGATGCAGCTCCTACAACATCATATAAAGCTGAAATGGGTAACCCATAAACATTACATGGTCTAGTTGCCAGTTGTTTTTTTCTCCTAGTCCTGCAAATCTCTTCCCGGATCATTCAATCAGAATTGAGAATGTATTGTTTTCAGGAACATTTTGTGATTTTTTTTAACTTATATTTATTTTAGTTCTTAAAAATAAATTTTAAATAAATAATAATTGTGAGATAGGCGAGACACGTCATCAGAATGGATGAGTGCTATATACCTCTCTAGTTATTCTATTGTGTACTGGAGAGTCTGGAAGAGATCTCGAGGTTGATCATACAAGCATTACAAAGACATCACGAAAAAAATCCCACACCACTGTGACTTCCAGCTAAGACAGGGGTGTCAAACTGCTGGCCCACGGGCCGAAAGCATCACAGCAAAACCGCGCCCACTTCATTGCCGGCAATGGCAAAAAAGTCACGAAACGTCGTGTGATGTTTGACACCCCTGAGCTAAGAGAACAAGAAGCTGCAGCTGCTGGATAAGCCCTCTGCTATGAAGCCTTCACCAGCTTTGAAGATATGTGCCACCAAAAATTGATAGAAAACTGAGTGGCATCACAGAACATCACCCACAATTACCACAACAATGGACTGCCCATGCCTCCACTGTGCTAAATTCTGTGCTTCTAGACTGGGGACAGCAGAGCCACCTCCATGTTCACAGATGAATTGCAAAACAGAGTGTCTTTTTTCAAAGCTGAAAGACAATCATATTATATTTCTTAGCCTCAAATTCCACAAAAGCCAAAAAAAAAAAAAAAAGTAAAACATTCTGGACATGCTTTCCCCCAAACTTTTAAGTTTTCCCAACTGCTGAAGAGCAAAATGATACAAACAAAAAAAAGGCAGCAATTCACGAAGAAGCACTGTCATTCTCTGACTTCACAGCTAAAGATTGAACACTTATCTTTTCAAAGAACATCAAGCAGCTTACCCTTCCTCAGTTGTGTTGATAAGGTCACAAATATGCATAAACTGACCCCATTCTTCTGTCTGCAAGGCTCCAAAAGTAGCTTTTGCTGCCAAAGGAAAGATTGGGCTCACAGTTAAAAAGCTAGGCAATTAGGAACAAACTGTTATTTTAGAGGATCAAAGTAGGACATTTAGACTTAGAAGACAATATAAACCTAGTACAGATAGTCCTCGACTTACGACAGTTCATTCAGTGACTGTTTGAAGTTACAATGGCACTGAAAAAAGTGACTTATGACCTTTTTTTCACACTTATGACCATTGCAGCAACCCAATGGACATGTGGTCAAAATTCAAATGCTTGGGAACTAACTCATATTTATGACAGTTGCAGTGTCCCAGTTGTCATGTGATCCCCTTCTGTGATCTTCTGACAAGCAAAGTCACTTAACAACCTTGCTACTAACTTAACAATTGCAGCGATTCACTTAACAACTGTGGCAAAAATGTAGTAAAAATGGAGCGAAATTCACTCAACAACCGTCTCGTTTAGCAACAGAAATTTTGAGTTCAACTGTGGTCGTAAGTCAAGGTCTCACCTATAAATAAATACATATCTGTCTGCCAACTTTAAAATTTAGGAAATTCAGCTAATGGTAACAGATTGTATTTGGTGGAGTTTCAACGTGGTATTTTCCAATGCCATTTAAGGAGCCACAGTGCAACAACAAGGGTGTATCCAAGATAAAATGAGTCTAAAGCCCTCAGATGCTACTGAATCTCAATTTCCATCAATCTTAATCAACAACTTCTGGAAGTTCACCCATTGCCCTGTAGGATGCAGGAACACCAGCACGGCATCAATGCCTATATTGACAATATAGGCTTCAGCAGGTGTTACCGGTTGCCTTTATTGGACACCTGTGGTGGTTAAAAACTCTTGCAAAGTTCAGAAAGCATAGATGTGCACTTCGGACGAGTTCTGATTCTCAGTTGCTGACTAACATTTCCTGTAAGTAATCTTATCAAATACGTAAACTCTCTCATTCTTCCAAGCTCACCGAAAGTTCAAGTGCTCTACATAGCAATCGGTTGCCATTAGCGTTTCTGTTAACATTGCAGCAATCTTAATTTTCAGTGGACCGTGGATAATAGCTTGGGATTCGAGTTACTAGAATCCAGGCTACGGGTGAAGCACATCTCCCCACAACCCTTTGAGAACACAAATTCAAGAGCCTCACACACGCCGTCTGGTTCAATCGTAATTGGACAATGCCAAGAATCCAAGCGGTATCATTGCTACACAGCGCTGAAACCAGAACTTCAGGATTGAGCCGCTAAATTCAGAGACGGCCCGGGCCAACACCAAGGGAACAAGCTACCCGGCAGGCGCCGCTTACCGATCAGATGGCCCACGGGGGTGACGAAGGCATCCTTCTGACTCTTCCCAAAAGCCATGCTCGCGCCTGAGTTTTCAGGCCCGTTCGGGAGACCAGGATCTTCAGATCAGACCCGAGAACGACGTCCGCCAGCCTTCTCCCTAGTAGCTAACGCCGACGCCTTCCTCCTCTGCTCCAGTGGCTGTCCCGTCGGGGACAGCTGCCCAGTGCCTTTCCCGAAGGCTGGAAGGAGGAGCTTGACTACCGCCTTCCAGGTACAAGCCAGGGCTGGCCTCCCACAAGCTCCGCGTCGGGGATCACGTGCCGCGCGGAACTGAATCAGCGTCAAGAGGAGAGAAAGAGAGAAACTAGGAACAGCCCCTTCCCGAGAGGCGCCTGGCCAAGAGGGTCAGTGGTCTGCTCAGTGCGCTTCGTATACCATGAGGTCGAGAAGCCTCTTTTGCTCCCTGGTATTTCCAACCCGTTTCGATTTGCAACTTCTGAGGTTGGCCCGGGGTGCTCTCATCACCCGGGGTGTCTGCTTCGTTTTCGAAGCGGGAGGGAGAACGATTTGGTATCCCACAACCACGCTTTTCCTTCCTGTTCCGACCCTGAACGTGAAGTTTGAGTTCGGCTAATAAAGTCGAGCTAATAGATAGATAACCTCTATTGTCTTTTTTTTTTTTTACACACATTAAAAATGAAATTTAGTCTGTTTCGAATCGAGCTTGGTAAGTTGGTGGGTTGTAGTCACTGTGAGTTGTGGGGTGCACGGAGGGAGGCTCAGCCAATCTCACTGTTATACTTTGACAATAAAGGTTCATTCATTCATTCCCTTCTGGTAACTTTTTGGATAACTCAAGGATGCATCACGCTGAAGCCAATTTTGCAACCTTTATGTTTGTAGGTGCAGAAATAAAAGCGTTTATAAAATCATCACCATTTCGTACATCACCCATATCGTAAATTAATAACCATTATCATGACAGACATCCATCTTTGTACCCTGGGAATGATCAAAAAGATTGTTAATAACTAAGATGATAAAGATGATTAAGGGCCTGGAGACAAAAACATGAAGGAATTGGGTATGGCCAGTCTAGAGAAAAGAAGGACTAGGGTTGACATAATAGCAGTATTCCAGTATCTGAGGGGCTGCCACAAAGAAAGAGGGGTCAACTTATTTTCCAAAGCACCAGAAGGCAAGACAAGAAACAATGGATGGAAACTCCTTACAGTCACTCACGCCCTTGTCACCTCACGTTTGGACTACTGCAACGCGCTCTACATGGGGCTACCTTGAAAAGTATTCGGAGACTACAGTTGGTCCAGAATGCAGCCACACGAGTGATAGTGAGTGCTCCTCAATACATCCACGTTACACCTATCCTCCGTGAGCTGCACTGGTTGCCTATTGGTCTCCGGGTCCAATTTAAGGTGTTGGTCATTACCTTTAAAGCCCTATATGGCTCAGGGCCAGGCTATTTGTGAGACCGCCTACTACCTCATAGTTCCCTACGTCCGGTTAGATCCCACAGGCTGGGCCTCCTTCAGGGCCCGTCGGCCAAGTAGTGCCATTTGGCGGGGCCGCGGAGGAGGGCCTTCTCTGTGATGGCGCCCACGCTTTGGAATCAGCTCCCCCCGGAGATTAGGACCGCTCCCACCCTGTTGGTCTTCCGTAAGCTACTTAAGACCTGACTTTTCCAGCAGGCCAGGGGTTTATAAAACCTTACCCCTGGATGATTGTTTTTGTATTGTTGTTTTGTTATGTTTTATGTGTTTTTTATTGTTAGCCGCCCAGAGTCCTTCGGGAGTGGGGCGGCTTATAAATTTTAAAAATAAAATAAAATAAAATAATAAAAACTAATCAAGAAGAGAAGCAACATGGAAATAAGGAGAAACTCCCTAACCATGAGAACAATTAACCAGTGGAACAGCTTGCCTTCAGAAGTTGTGGGTGCTCCATCACTGGAGGTTTTTAAGAATTTTAAGAAGAGACTGGATAGCCATTTGTCTGGAATGATATAGGGTCTCCTGCTAGAGCAGAGGATTGGTTTAGATTAGAAGACCTCCAAGTTCTCATCCAGCTCTATTCTGATTGATTAAAATAATGTCATGGGGAAGAATCCCATCTTTTTTTGTTTTTGGAAAGCTTAAACTTTCCTCTGCTTCACCTTTCTTTTAAACAGCTTTTTGGGGCTGGTGGGCACCTTCAGAATTTAGCACGTTTAATGCTAGCACCCCCTTTATGGATTACTGCCTTGTCGTGGCGAAGGGGCTTGTGTAACTCAATGAAGCTATAAGCTATGCCGTGCAGGGCCATCCAAGAAGGACAGGTCATAGCAGAAAGTTCTGACAAAATGTGACTCACTGGAGAAGGAAATGGCAAACCACTCCAGTATCTTTGCCATGAAAACCCCATGGACAGTACTAAAAGGCAAAAAGATATGACGCTGGAAGATGAGCCCCTCAGGTCGGAAGGTGTCCAATATGCTACTGGGGAAGAGCAGAGGGCTAGTACTAGTAGCGCCAGAAAGAATGAAGCGACTGGGACAAAGCCGAAAGGACGCTCAGCTGTGGATATATCTGGTGGTGAAAGGAAAGTCCGATGCTGTAAAGATTTTTTCTCCATAGGAACCTGGAATGTAAGATCCATGAATCAAGGCAAGCTAGACGTAGTCAAAAAAGAGATGACAAGAATGAACATCGACATCTTAGGAATCAGTGAACTAAAATGGACAGGAATGGGTGAATTTAACTCAGATGACCATAAGGTATACTACTGTGGGCAAGAATCCCTCAGAAGAAATGGAGTAGCCTTCATAGTCAATAAAAGAATAGGAAAAGCAATACTGGGATACAATCCCCAAAATGACAGAATGATCTCAATTCGAATCCAAGGCAAACCATTCAATATCACAATAATCCAAATCTATGCCCCAACCATTGGTGCTGAAGAGGATGAAATTGACCAGCTCTATGAAGCCGTACAGCACCTTATAGAATTACCACCAAAAAATGACGTCCTTATCATCATGGGGGATTGGAATGCTAGGGTAGAAAGCCAAAAGATAACCGGAATAACAGGCAAGTTTGGCCTTGGAGTACAAAATGAAGCAGGGCACAGGCTGATAGAATTGTGTCAAGAAAATACGATGGTCATAACAAACAGTCTTTTCCAACAACCCAAGAGACAGCTCTACACATGGACATCACCAGACGGTCAACATAGAAATCAGATTGACTATGTGCTCTGCAGCCAAAGATGGAGAAGCTCTATACAGTCAGTAAAAACAAGACCAGGAGCTGACTGTGGCTCAGATCATGAGCTTCTCGTTGCAAAATTTAGGCTTAAATTGAACAAAGTAGGGAAAAGCACTAGGACACTCAGGTATGAACTAAATCATATTCCTGATTAATATACAGTAGAGGTGACAAATAGATTTAAGGAACTGGATCTGATAGACAGAGTGCCTGAAGAACTATGGATGGAAGTTCGCAACATTGTACAAGAGGTAGCAACTAAAACCATCCCAAAGAAAAAGAAATGCAAGAAAGCAAAATGGCTGTCTGAGGAAGTTTTGCAAATAGCTGAGGAAAGAAGGGAAGTGAAAGGCAAAGGAGAAAGAGAAAGATACACCCAATTGAATGCAGAATTCCAGAGAATAGCTAGAAGAGATAAGAATGCATTCTTAAATGAACAGTGCAAAGAAATAGAAGAAAACAACAGAATAGGGAGGACCAGAGATCTCTTCAAGAAAATTGGAGATATGAGGGAACGTTTCATGCAAAGATGGGCATGATAAAGGACCAAAATGGCAGAGACCTAACAGAGGCAGAAGAGATTAAGAAGAGATGGCAAAACTACACAGAAGAACTATACAAGAATGAGCTTAACATCCCAGATAACCACAATGGTCATTGACCTCGAACCAGACATCCTAGAATGTGAAGGGCCTTAGAAAATCTGAGCAACAACAAAGCTAGTGGAGGTGACAGTATTCCAGCTGAGCTATTCAAAATCTTAAAAGATGATGCAGTAAAAGTGCTACACTCAATTTGCCAGCAAATTTGGAAAACTCAACAGTGGCCACAGGATTGGAAAAGGTCAGTTTACATTCCAATTCCAAAGAAAGACAATGTCAAAGAATGTTCAAACTATCGCACCATTGCACTCATTTCACATGCTAGTAAAGTTATGCTTAAAATCCTACAAGCTAGACTCCAGCAGTATGTGGATCGAGAACTACCAGAAGTACAGGCAGTATTTCGAAGAGGCAGAGGAACTAGAGATCAAATTGCCAACATACGCTGGATCATGGAGAAAGCTAGGGAGTTCCAGAAAAACATCTACTTCTGCTTCATTGACTATGCAAAAGCCTTTGATTGTGTGGATCACAACAAATTGTGGCAAGTTCTTAAAGAGATGGGAGTACCAGACCATCTTATTTGTCTTTTGAGAAACCTATATGCAGGTCAAGAAGCAACAGTGAGAACCGAACACGGAACCACTGATTGGTTCAAAATTGGAAAAGGAGTCCGGCAAGGCTGTATACTGTCGCCCTGCCTATTTAACTTATATGCAGAGCACATCATGAGAAAGGCAGGGCTAGATGAATCAAAAGTTGGAATTAAGATTGCCGGGAGAAATATCAAACAACCTAAGATATGCAGATGATACCACCCTAATGGCAGAAAGTGAAGAGGAACTAAAGAGCCTCTTGATGCGGGTGAAGAAGGAGAGTGCAAAAGTTGGCTTGAAACTCAACATTAAGAAAACCAAAATCATGGCATCCGGCCCTCTCAATTCCTGGCAAATAGATGGGGAAGAAAGGGAGGTAGTGACAGATTTTATTTTTCTGGGCTCCAAGATCACCTCAGATGGGGACTGCAGCCAAGAAATTAAAAGATGCTTGCTCCTGGGGAGAAAAACTATGGCAAATCTAGACAGCATACTAAAAAGCAGAGACATCACCCTGCCAACAAAAGTGCGTATAGTCCAGGCCATGGTTTTCCCAGTTGCAATGTATGGCTGTGAAAGTTGGACCATAAGAAAGGCTGAGCACCAAAGAATTGAGGCCTTTGAACTATGGCGCTGGAGAAGACTCCTGCGGGTCCCTTGGACTGCAAGGCGTTCAAACTGGTCAGTCCTGGAAGAGATCAACCCCGACTGCTCTTTAGAAGGCCAGATCCTGAAGTTGAAACTCAAATACTTTGGACACCTAATGAGAAGGAAGGACTCACTGGAGAAGGACCTAATGCTGGGAAAGATTGAGGGCAATAGAAGA